CTTCTTGGAAGGAAGATGGGGCAATCTACTTCCGTAGTGATACTGCCTTGGAAACCCAAGGAGGGGTCACTATGAGTCGGGTCCGACTTGACGGCACATAACAACAACAACGATATGCCCTGAAGTCTTCTTAGAACTGAACGACGGTTTAGCTTAACTAGTAACCAAGGTCTGCTTTGAGCTTTATGCTCTTTCAAGAACTGTAGGGGATGAAATTGACAACCAGCTCAAAAGATTGTTAACGGGGAGGAGGAATATCTGAAAAGGTGGTTGAGAACAGCTGCAAAACTTGCACAAAGTAATCCACGTCACTAACTGTACATGGAGAAACTGTTGAAGTGGTGTGTTTTGCTGTGTTTCTTAACAGCAACAAGAAAATAAAACGAAGAGAAAAGAAGGACCCCATGGAGCATAGTTCTACCCTGTAATACGTGGGGTTGCCATGAGTTGGAACCGACTTGTTGGCAACGGGTGTGGGATTTTGGCTTTCCTTGCCTCCATAGTTCTCGGACTTCAGCAGGCATCAGCATCACCACGGGAGCTTGTTAAAACACAAATGGCTGGGCCCCTCGCTCACTGTCTGATTGGCACTTCCGGGCTAGGGCCAAGTCATTGCTAACTAGTCCAGGAATCCCACTTTGAGAACCATTGTTCTAATTCGATGCTTTCCAATATGGCAACCACTGGCTGCATGCGGGGATGGAGGCCTTGAAGTGTGGCCAGCCCAAATCAGGGTGCGCTACAGGTGTTAAAATACACACGTGATTCTAGACTAAGTGTGAAAAGACAATATAAAATATTTCATCTGGTATTTTTTATACGGATTCCATGTTGAAAGGATATTTGTGGCAGATGAAGACCAATGAACAGTGAGCAGTATACTGGGTGAAAGAAAACATCTTAAAATTAATTTCACCTGTTCCTTTTTACTTTTTTTGGATCTCGGACTATGTTAAAACCAGTTACTGTTGGGTCGGTTCTGACTCATGGCCACCCATGTGTGGCTGAGTAGATCTGTGTGACAGTGGTTTTCAGTGGCTGATTTTCAGTCGACCTGCCAGTCTTTGTGTTGTTGGGTGCCATGGAGTCAGTTCCAACCATAGCGACCCCATGTGCAATGGCATGAAATACCGCCCAGTCCTGCCCCATCCTCGCAGTCACTGCTGTCTGGGCCCACTGTGGCAGCCACTGTGAAAGTCCATCTCGTTGAGGGTCTTCCTGTTTTTCACTGACCCTCTACCAAGCATGACGTCCTTCTTCAGGGACTGGTCCCTTCAGATAACATTTGCAAAGTGCACGAGACGAAGTCTTGCCAGCCTTGGTTCCAAGGAGCACTCTAGCTGTACTTTTTCAGAGACAGATTTGTTCACTCTCTGGCAGGCCATTGTAAATGCATCAATTCTTCTTTGGTCTTCCTTACTCATTGTCCAGCTTTCGCATATATAATGTTGTTGTTGTTACAAACCATTAAGTCAGCTCTGACTCATAGCGACCCTGTGTACAACAGAACGAAACACTGCCCAGTCCTGTGCCAGCCTCACAATCTTTACTCCTCCCGAGTCCATCGTTGCAGCCACTGTATCAATCCGTCTCGTTGAAGGCCTCCCCCTCTTTCATCGACCCTCCACCCTACCAAGCATGACATCCTTCTCCAGGGAATGGTCCCTTCTAACAACATGACCAAAGTAGGCGAGGTGAAGTCTGGACATTTCTCGCTTCCAAGGAGCATTCTGGCTGCATTTCTTCCCGGATAGATTTGTTAGTTCTTCTGGCCGTCCATGGTACTTTCAGCATTCTTCTCCAACACCACAGCTCAAAAGCATCAACTCTTCTTTGGTCTTCCTGTTTCATTGTTCAGCTCTCACATGCATATGAGATGACTGAAAACATTGTAGCTTGGGTTAGGCGCACCTTAGTCTTCAAAGAGACATCATTGCTTTTCAGCACTTTGAGGTCTTTTGCAGCACATTTGCCCAGTGCTATACATATGAGGCGACTGAAAATACCATGGCCTGGGTCAGGTGCACCTTAGTCCTTGAAGTGACACCTTTGCTTTTTAACACTTTAAAGGGGACTTTTGCAGCAGATTTGCCCAATGCAATACGTCATCTCATTTCATGACTGCTGCTTCCATAGGCGTTAATTATACATCTAAGTAAAAGGGTTTTCAGTGGTTGATTTTCAGTCGGACTTCAGGTTAGTAAAACCAAACAACCAAACCTGCTGTTGTCATGTGATTCTGACTCATAGTGACCCAGACAGAACGGGTCCACAGGGTTTCAAGACTATAATTTTTATGCAATAATCTCTAATGGCATAGTGGTGAAGCATTTGGCTGCTAAACTAAAGGTTGATGGTTCAAACCCACCAGCCACCCTATGGGAGAAAGATGTGGCAGTTGGCTTCCATAAAGATTTACAACCTTGGAAACCCTATGGGGCAGTTCTACTCTGTCCTGCAGGGCCACTATGAGTTGAAATCAGCTTGATGGCAGTGGATTTCTGGGAATCTTTAACAAAAGCTGACGGCGGCATTTTTCTTCCATGAAGTGGCTGGTGGGTTCAAACCAAAGACCTTTCAGTTAGCAACCAAACACTTAACCACTGCACCACCGGGGCTCCTTTCTGGATTAGCAGTCAAGCGCAAACTGTCTACATCACCCAAGGATCATCAAGAGGACCAGTCAATAAAGAACATGGTTTTGGCCATACAGCCACCCCCCACAAAACTTGGGGCATGACAGGAACTCTGGGGAAGGTGGGGTGGCCCCAGCCCTGCTCTACTCCTATGAGGGGGATTCTGCCATGAGGCCCCACCCCTGGAACCACTCACTGCTCACTGGTCTGCATCAGCTCAATAAGGTCTGAAAAGAGAACATCCCGGTTCCTCTCGCAGAAGCCACTGACGTCGTAAGAGACCTGGGAGGATGGAACGTTGGAGGAAGTGAGGGGCTGAGGGCTCATGTGCTGTGGGGCCTACTCTGGGGTGAGGGGATCAGGGGCTATCTACAGCTCTGGTTGGGGGTGGTCTATGGAGGTCTATGGTTCAGAATAGGGGGAGAGGGCTGCAACCTGGGGTTCTCCTGGGGTTTCTGGAGGGCTGATGCCCAAGTTGAGGTTGGGGGTGGGAGGCTACAGCCTGGATCAGAGGTGATCGATTACAGCTCAGATTGAGGGCAGAGGCTGGAGCCTGAATCAGAGGGTCAGTGGGGGTCACACCTTAGGTGAGGGGTTGAGGGCTGTAGCTTGGGCAGAAGGTCCCCAGGGCTCTGCTGATCAACTTGGAGTCAAAGGGGGGTTGAGTATCTGTGCCTTGGTTAGTTGGAGACTGGGGACAATGTCAGGGGGTTACAGGACTGGGCAGGGGTGGGTGCATGGGGGTTTCAGCTAGGGCTGTGGGCTGGATCTGCTGTGTAGGTGAGGGGCTCTCTGTGGTCCTGGTGAGGGTTTTTGCAGTCTGGCTGAGGGAACACGGGGGCTCTAGGCCACTTTAGGGCTGGGGGCTGCAGCTGAAGCAGGGGCCCTGGGGGTGCCTGATGCTCCTGCTGAGATCAACAGAAGTCTATAGTCCTGTCCTGTGCCTGTGTGTGTGTGTGCATGGGCCACAGCTGGTCGATTTCTTTAGCTTTGGGTAGGGCCTGTGGGTGACTCTAGCCCATTTTGGAAACTGTCCCCCTGGGTCTGGGGTCTCTGGGAGTTTGCTTTCCACATTGGGTCAGAAGGTGGGGGCTGTGCCCTGGGTCAGGGGGTGAGGTTGGTTACACTTGAGTCTGCAGCATAGGCAGGCCTTGGTGGCCTGTTGCCCACTTGGGGTCAGTGTGGGCTGTCCTGTTAGTAGGGGGAGTTGTAGCCTTGGTCAGGGGCCAGTGGGGTTCAGCAGTCCTTGCTGAGGAAACGTGGGGTCTCCTGGCCAGTTTGGGGATTGGACAATTCCTGAGCCTCTGCCAGCAGAGGGTCAGTAGTGGAGGGGTCTGTGGTTGGGGTCAGTAGGGGGATGACGATGGCCTGGACCCCGGGGTCCGTGTAGTTGGGGGTTGGGCGGGCCCTGCCAGTTTGGGAGGTGGGAGGCTGCAGCCTGGGCCGGGGTTCCGGTGTGGGGGGCTGTGATGAGGCGTCAGTGGGGGCCACCAGGTGGTGCGGGGCGCGGGCACCTTGCCGGCGTAGTGGTGGATGACGAATCCGGCGCTCCAGCTGTTGAAGTGCTCGTGGGTGCCCACAGCTGCCTGCAGCTTCTGCAGCAGGGTCTGGTCCGCGCCGCCGCCAGTGGCATGCATGGTGGCGCACACGTCGTCCAGCACGCTCATGATGCCCGGCGGGCTCTGCGGAGGCGGGGCGGGCGAGAGGCGTGACCAAGGCGAGGGGGCGTGGCGGGGGCCCGGGGGAAGGGGGAAGAGTGGGAGGTGCGAAGATAAGAGAAGGGGACGATGGGGGCAGGCAGGGTGGGAAGAGACACGGGGTCTGCAAAGGGGCGGGCAAAGGGCGTGACCGGGGACAGGGCGTGTCGGAGAGAAGGGTGGGGTGTGGACTAGGGGGCGGGGCCGGAAGAGGAAGAGGGGCGGGGTCGGGGAAAGGGAAATGGGGCGGGGAGAGAGACGCGGCAGGGCAGGTGGGGATGGTGGAGACAGATGGAAGGAAGAAGGGGTGTGGTAGGGGGCTAAGGGACAGAGCTATCCTGGCCCTGGTCTATCCCCCATCCAACTTCCGGGCAGGGAGAGCATGCAGGGGTGTGGCTAGAGGAGGGGCAAGGGATAGAGTTGGGTGGATTTTGTATCCCCAAGTTCTGGGGCTTCCGAATATAAGGGCAAAACGTGGTGGTGGGGGCCAGGGTGTGAGGGGGCTCGCTGGCACGTAGAACAGAGAGGCATTCCTTGGGGGGGTCCATGCCTCTTTCCTCCCTCAGTCTGGGAGGCCTGCCAGTGCTCACCCCTCTGGCCCTGAGCGGCCCCACGGAGGAGTGTTTGTTGAATGACTGGGTGCATGGTGAACAGGTGGGCAAAGTCAGTGTCTGAAGGGGGGGCGCTATTTCCATGATGTCTGTCTACCCAAGAGGGGTGCGTGGGGGTAGAAAAGGACGGTGGGAACTGTATCCTAGAGCACACGACTCAGCTTGCCGGGCCTGGGCCTCCTATGCCCAGCTCCAGGGCTCCATGAAAGCCCCCAAATCGGCCTGGCCCTCACCAGCTTGTTTTCGATGAGGTCGCAGACAACTTTGTTGTTGAAGTACTGGATAGGGGTCCAGCGGATGCCCTCCTGTACATACTCCTCCTGGGGGCAGGACAGTAGGGCAGAGATGGGGGTCAGTGTCCCAGCAAAGGTGTATGCAAGGTCTGCAAACGCAGTACACCACCCATACTCCACCATCTGTAGCTGGCAACAAAGCCGATCTGCTCTTTCAGGGGGCAAGTCCGAAGTGTCAAGGAAGCACCCCGCCCCCTGTCCCTGGAAGCCCTCACCCAATGGCAAGCAAGAGTGGGCAGATCAATACCCCAGCTCCCTCGCTCCTCTGCTGGGTCAGCTCTGAGATGTGATGTAAACAGTCTCCCAGGGGTTCCCTCAGAACCAAGCCTGTTTCCCACAGTATGACCTGCTCATCAACACAACCTGTTTGGGCGTCTTCTCGTCCCTGTCTCCCTTCCTCACTCCCTTCCTGGTGCATCCTGGCATCACCACCCAGATAATCCACTGGGCTCTGAATCCCTGCCTCAGGCTCTGTTTTTGGGGAAGCCCAAAATTAATACAGCAGGGAATTTTGTCTGTCTTGTTGAGCTGGGTCCTCAGCACCTAAAACAGGGTTTGGCACAGAGCACTCACTAACTACCAAAAAATCCAACTCATGGCTGTTGAGTTGATTCTGACTCATGGTGACCCCGTGTGTTAAAAAGTAGAACTGCTCAATAGGGTTTTCAAGGCTGTGAGCTTTTGGAAGCAGACCACCAGGCCTTTCTTCTGAGGAGATGCTGGGTAGGTTTGAACCAACCCTTAGGTTAGTAGGTCAGTGAAAACCAAACCACTCAAGACCCTTACAGAAGCATAACCAATTGCTGTAGCGTCTATCCCAACTCATGGTAACCTCATGTGTTTCACAGTAAAACTGTACTCCATAGTGTTCTCATGGCAGTGAACTTTCAGAAGTAGATTGCCAGGCCTTTCCTGGGAGGCACCTCTGGCTGGTTTCAAAGTAAGTAGCTGAATCTTTAACCACTTGTGCCACCTGAGGACTCCCACCTAGGGATGTTACTCATTAAATAATGTTGATTGGTGCTATGGAGTTGATCCTGATTCATGATGACCCCATGTGACAGAGTAGAACTTCCTCGTAGGGTTTCCTAGGCTGTAATGTTTACATTGAGTAGCTAAAGCCCATGGAAGAAATGATGACAGAAAAGAGCTGAACAGATCTCAAAGATGCCTGAGAAGACAAAGTAAAGTATTAAGATGAAATGTGTGAAGACCTGGAGTTAGAAAACCAAAAAGGAAGAACATGCTCAGCACTTTTCCAGCTAAAAGAACTGAAGAGAAAATTCAAGAATCAAGTTGCAATACTGAAGAGTTCTATGGGCAAAATCCACCTGTCTGTCAGTTTGTCATAGTGTGGCGGCTTGCGTGTTGCTGTGAGACTGGAGGCTATCCCACGGGTATTTCAAATTCCAGCAGGGTCACCCATGGTGGACAGGTTTCAGAGGAGCTTCCAGACTAAGACAGATTTGGAAGAAGGAAGGGGCCATCCACTGCTCAAAGAATTGGCCAGTGAAAACCTTATGACTAGCAGTGAAACACTGTCTGAGATATTACTGGACAACTTTATGAATAGCCCTGAAACATTGTCCGATATAGTGACAGAAGATGAGCCCCTCATGTCAGAAAGCACTCAAAATACGACTGGAGAAGAGCTGCCTCCTTAAAGTGGAGTCAACCTTAACGATGTGGCTGGAGTAAAGCTTTTGGGACCTCCATTTGTTGATGATGAAACAGCTGCAAAATCCACCAATAATCGGAACATGGAATGTATGAAGTATGAATGTAGGAAAATGGGAAGTTGCTAAAAATGAAATGGAATGCATAAACATTGATATCCTAGGAATCAGTGAGCTGAAATGGACCAGTTTTGGCCATTTTTAATCAGACAATCATATGACTTACTATGCTGGGAATGACAAATTGAAGAGGAATGGGGAGGCATTCATCATTACAAACAATGTTTCAAGATCTACCCTGAAGTACAATGCTGTCAGTGATAGAATAATATCCATACACCTATAAGGAAGACCAATAATATGACTATTATTCAAATTTATGCACCAACCACCAAAGCTAAAGATGAGGAAATAGAAGATTTATACCAATTTCTGCAGTCTGAAATTGACCAAACATGCAATCAGGATTGCTGATTATCACTGGTGATTGGAATGCAAAAGTTGGAAACAAACAATCATCACCATTAGTTGGAAAACATGGCCTTGGCGATGAAAATGAAGCTGGAGATCGCATGATAGAATTTTGTAAGACCAATGACTTACTCATTACGAATACCTCTTTTCAACAACACAAATGCCTGCTATACATGTGGACCTTGCCAGATGGAACACACAGGAATCAGAATGACTACATCTGTGGCAAGAGGCAATGAAAAGCTCAATATCTTCAGCCAAAACAAGGCCAGGAGCTGATTGTGGAACCGACCATCAATTACTCATCTGCAAGTTCGAGTTGAAGCTGAAGACAATTAAAACAAGTCCATAAGAGCCAAAATAATGATCTTGATTATATCCCACCTGAATTTAGAAAATATCTGAAGAATAGATGTGAGGCACTGAACACCAGTGAACAAAAACCAAAGGAACTGTGGAATGACATCAAGAACATCATCCATGAAAAAAGGAAAAGGTCACTAAAAAGACAGGAAAGGAAGAAAAGACCAAAATGGATGTCAGAA